ATTCCTGAAATTGGTGATTTGTATTCTTTCTTTGTATTTTGATCCATCCACTGAGGAATTAACCAATTTTGTTAATATTTTCCGAGAACCATTTTCTATGTAGTTATATTTTGTTTTGTTGTTGTTTATTTCTTTCCTACTTAATTGATTTCTGCTGTCACATTTATTATTTCCTTTCTTTTACTTTGGGTTTGCTGTGCTCTTTTTCTAAATTCTTTTTTAAAAAAATTTTGACAGGAGGGTGCTTTATTTTTTTCTAGCTTTAATGAGGCATACTTGATGAATAAAATTGTATATATTTAGGGTATACAATGTGATGTTTTGATATACATATATATTGTGAAATGATTATCATTACCAAGCTAGTTAATATATCCATCACCTCATAGTTACCTTTTAACATTTTTCTGTGTGTGCATATTTGTTGAGAATATTTAAGGTGTATTCTTTTAATAAATTTCAAGTACACATTAACAGTATTACAGTATTATTAACTGTAGTCACCATGCAGGACATTAGATCTTATTCTAGGTTCTTAAAGTAGTATCATAGGGCATTGATTTTAAACAATTCTTTTTTTATATAAGCATTTACCACTATAAATTTCCCTAAAAGCACTGTTTTAAGTGCATTCCACAAATTATTATGTGTAAAGTTTTTGTTACTATTGTTTGAAATATTTTATAATTTCCCTTGCGACTTTTTAACCATTGTTGTCTTTGCTGTTTGCTATTATTGTTGAAGAAATACTTAGCATGTATACTACTCTTGGAGCAACATTATGAAAGTTAGATTTATTGATCTCACTGACAACTTTGGCATAGATTTCTAATCATCTAATATGAAAGGAAGGATGTAGAAAAAGGCTAGATTATGTTCGCATGTAATATTTCCTACATTAGTAATAATCTGTTTTGTTTTGTTTTGTTTTCCATTTCTTAGGCTGCTTTGATGAACTTGCACTAAAGCAAATTCAAAATAACTAGAAAACAATACAGGATAACTTTTGCGAATATTGATTTTAAATCAAAGGAACTTTATTGGAAGATAACATATCCCTGTGGATTCAGAACAAGAACTACTCTAAGTTCATAGACAGGGAAATTAGAAACAGTGAGAATGACAGATAATGCTGTTTCTTTAAATGTTTATATTATGCTTGACCATCCTCAACTTGGGCTCTATTTAAAGTCAACAGCTCCGCAAATTACCAATTTTTCCTTTTCCTCTTCTTTACTCTTTATGTGTAGGGTAAAAGAGAGCGTGAGAAAATGATATAGTTTGGCATCCAAACTCTTTCACAATCTGGTCATAATACATCTCTTCAATTTTAATATACCTCCATAAATTCCTGGTTCTAGTCCCTTCAATTTACCTCTTCTCCCATTGACTTAAATGTTCTTACCTTCTTCTCTCTTACCCTTATTCCATTATGGATTATGAAGATGTGATATTGTGATGAGAAATATATACATATATATATTTATATAGAGGTGCTAGGAGAATCTTTTGTTCTAATATTTAGTCTTTGACCTGGGTTCCTGACAGAACTCTTAAGACTTTTGTGATTTCCTGAGTGACAGGAATGTTTGACACAACTCCTAAATCCTTTGAAATTTCCTGGGTTATAGGAACATCTTTTGTTCTGATGGGGTGACTCTTGGTGGACTCCTGGATAGCCTTGGAATGGGGGCTGGTTGCCAGGGGAACCAACCACGTGACTAGAGGGTTGGAACTTTCAACCCTACTGCACCCTGACCTCAGAGGAGAGGAGAAGGGCTGAAGGTTGAGTACATCATCAATGATCAGTAATTTAATCAATCTTGCCTATATAATGGACCCTTTATGAAAACCCAAAATGATAGGGTTTGGAAGGCTTTCAGATGTCTGAACATGTGGAGGTACCTGGAGGGTGGTGTGCCTGTAGAGGGCATGGAAGCTCTGTACCCTTTCCCCAATACCTTGCCTTATGCTTCTCTTTCTCATCTGGCTGTTTATCTGTATCTTTTGTAATATACTTTATAATAAATAGGTAAACATAAGTAGTATTTCCCTGAATTATGTAAGCCTCTCCTGAAAATTAATTAACCCAAGGAGGAGGTCTTGGGAACTCCGATTTATAACTGGTTGGTCAGAAGTACAATTCACAACCTGAAACCTGTGATTGGCATCTCAAGTGGAGGCAGTCTTGTGAGACTGAGCCCTTAACCTGATGGTCTGATGCTAACTCCAGGTAGATAGTGTCATAATTGAGTTAAATTGTATAATTAGCTTCACTAATTAAATTAATTAATTGTTTGATTGTTTAACTTTATTAATTAAATTAATTGTTGAATTGTTTAAATTTATTAAATTAAATTAGTGCCCAACTGGTATCCAATGAAGAATTGGTTGTTGGTGGGAGAAGCACTCACAGATTTTGGTGACCAGAGGTGAAGTATTCTGTGTTTTATTGAGTGTGTGATAGTAGGAAAAAACAGTTTAGTTTATTTTTCCCTCAGGAGTCCTTAGCGATTATTCCTTTGTCTTAATTTTTTACTTATTCAACTCTTTTTACACTTAGCTATATCTCCATTATTAATTTTAAATAGCATACATTATGTAACATATATATTTAAAATATATTAAAAAGCTATTACTTAATGCATATATCTTTTCATATTTTGCCCAAGATCTTTGCACTCTTAGATGTTCAACAAATATTTCATGAAGTTATAGATGATGACGAGAATGATGGATTGCAAATCATCTTTTGAGATTGTGGCTCATATGTCACTTGTTGATTTTTCTTTATTTTATAGGTACATTTAGAGAAGAACAGAAATGCACATACCAATCACTGATACAAGGCTTCATCTGCAAAGAAACTGACCAAGTGGTCCTAATTCTTGAAAATGCTCATGCCACTTCGGCGATCCAGAAGTTATATCCAGTTGTAACTGTGACTAGTGGTTTTGTTGACACCTTTAGTAGTGTAAATGCCAATACTCCTTGCTCTACCTCTGGGTCTGTGTCTACTTTCTATTCCATTTTACCAGCCAGGCAAATCACCAGGGTATGCTTTGCGGATCAGACTCCTCAAGTTCTGCGCTTTTTTCTATTGGGGAACAAAAGTACCTCCAAGCTTCTCTTGGCTATATTCTACCATGAGCTCCACAGCCCCCATGTTTTCTTAAGAGAAAGTTTTATTCCACCCACTCTGGTTCAATCAACCTCCTTATTGCTGAATGAGTCTATTGGTGCCAACTATTTTGACATCATGAATAACCTCTTGTATGTTGTCCTACAAGGAGAGGAAACCATTGAAATACGTTCAGGTGTCTCCATTCATTTGGCCCTCACTGTTACATTTTCAGTCCTTTTAGAAAAAGGCTGGGAAATAGTGATCCTTGAAAGACTAACTGACTTCTTACAGATTAGCCAAAACCAAATAAGATTTATTCACAAAATGCCCGGCAATGAAGGGACCTTAAAGGCCATTGCTGACAGTAGAGCAAAAAGAAAGCGCAATTGCCCAACCGTGACTTGTGCCAGTCATTACAGAAGAGTTGGTCAACGTAGACCTCTCATGATAGAAATGAGCACATATGGGGTTTCACCACCAACCACTATAAAAACTATCTCGAAAGTGATTGTCATTGAAATTGGTGATCTGCCAACAGTAAGGAGCACTGGACTGATTCCATCCTTATCAAGTAACAAATTAGAGAATTTGGCTCATCACGTCATCACTGCTCAACAGACTGGAGTGCTAGAGAATGTTCTGAATATGACTATTGGAGCATTATTGGTGACTCAGTCAAAGCGAATCATTGGCTATGGGTAAGTACTAATTACAACAACATTCAAATGAGGGCTGATTTCTTGGATTCATATTGACATATATTGGAAATGTCCATCTACTTACACTGATCACATAACCTGTCTACTTTTTTAGACTAAAATAAAAGCTCAAAGAGCCATTAAAGACTTAAGTTCTCATTTTTTAAATTCTTTATTAAATCTACATTTGTCACGATTATTCTATTTCCCAGGTTGTAAAAAACATTATATTTTGGTACATTAAAATGAAAAACATGTAGGAAGAGATTTTTTGGAGCAACTTGTTCTCAGTCCATTTGTTCATTCATTTATTCATGTAATGAATTTAAGCAATAGGCTAGGTTCTGAGGTTGCTAAGGTAGATTTATTCTGTTATTACTACTTTTTGCTTTTATTTGTGGTGGTGCTAACAAATAAGCAATTAATATTTAATAGGTATTAATTACTTCTACACAGCCATCTCCAATGGATGTGGGATTCACTAGAACTGAAATAAAAAGTAAAACTCCACAGAGAAACTTTCACACCTGGAGGCATGTTTAATTAATACACTGATTGCCTTTTTAGACACAGAGTAACTTATTCCAGTGAAAGCTTAGCTAGTGTTTTTGTATTATATTTTTCCTGTCTTAACAGTGGAGATAGGCATTTCTCTTCCCTTCCATATATTAATATGTATAGAAGATGAAAAGAAAACTCAAGCACTTTTTTGTTTTCTGGATCCGGTTGATTTGAAGGGCTTTGGGAATCGTTAGCTTAAAATTAACAAGTACTGATAGAGTATGATTGCTCATAAATTTTTAAACATTGCCTATTTTTGCCAACCACCAAACCTTAACCATGTTAGTGATGTTGTTATGATATTATGTATGGTGGTATGAGAATCAGGAATCTCAAAAAAAATTATGCTAATGCATCTTAGCTTATATTTAAATTTCTTTTCTTTCCTTCAGCCCCATTTCATTTAGATCCCACTGAGTTCTTGTAAGTATATATTATATATATGTATGTACCTAGAGAGAAAACGGATCAGTCCATTGCTTAATTTTATATAGACTTTAATGAACTTTCCTAGTAGGTCATCATTAAAAAATGACAGATTTATATATTTAGAAGGAGAGCAAAGTCAATTTGTAGAAGCAATAGAAGTACATCTGAGAAAAAACAACAGAGATTGAATCTGCCACAGGTGTAGGCATACACACATCTTCTGACAGTAAGAAAAGGCTGCTTCTTAAGTACAAGCGTTCTTTAAAAATACATGGAAAAATTGAATTAAAAGATAATACAGTGCTTCCATAAACTTTTTGAAGA